ATGCTGCAACAAGAATGAACCTTGAAAACATCAGCTAAGCCAAAACTGGTTTGGCTCAGTGGTAAAGCGTCGGCCTGCGAACTGGGGGGTCCCGGGTTCGATTCCGGTCAAGGGCATGTGCCTTGGTTGCGGGCACATCCCCAGTAGGGGGTGTGCAGGAGGCAGATGGTGGATGTTTCTCTCTCATTGATGTTTCTCACTCTCTATCCCTCTCCCTTCCTCTCTGTAAAAAAAATTCAATAAAATATATATATTTTTTAAAAACTGTCTTGTGGAGCGAACGCGAGTAAATGCCCACCGGCATCCAGACCAAATTAAAATTTAGGGAACCTTTAATAACCGGCCGGTTGACCACTCTCTCTCCATGCCGAGAGCCCCAACCCTTTGAACAATCACTTTTTTTTTTAATATATATTTTTTAATATTTTATAGGGAGGAAGGGAGAAGGATAGAGAGTTAGAAAAATCGATGTGAGAGAAACATCGACCAGCTGCCTCTTGCACACCCCCTGCTGGGGATGTGCCCACAATCAAGGTACATGCCCTTGACCGGAATCGAACCCCGGACCCTTCAGTCCCCAGGACGATGCTCTACCCACTGAGCCACACCGGTTTCGGCTGAACGACCATTTTTTAAACCCGTTCACTACATCCTGTTTTTGCAGAGCAAACAATTTAAGACAAAGTAGTTCTTCTTAGGTAATGTCCACAGGTCACTGCCAGGGTCCTGGCGCCTGGTAGAGTAAATAACTGCATCCCGTTATCAGGAAAGTTGACAGGGATCTGTCTTGTAAGGCTGACTGGCCGCCTGTTCTCAAGAAAACGAACAATAATTTACCCTGGGAGGCTATTTTGTTAGTTGCAGCTGGAATTTATGGCCACGAGTCGACTAGGAGAAAGCGTGTTCAAACATTGCCACTCACGAACAACTGAAACCCATTTATCCTGATTCCCACCACTTGTGGGTCTCATTTTACTTCTCTAGCACTCATCACCTTCCATGACTTACTTAGTGGATGGAGTGTCCTATCTTTACCAACAAGAATGCAAGCTCGCTGAAACCGGTGTGGCTCAGTGGATAGAGCGTCGGCCTGCGGACTGAAGGGTCCCAGGTTCGATTCCGGTCAAGGGCATGTATGTACCTTGGTTGCGGACACATCCCCGGTGGGGGTGTGTGCAGAAGGCAGCTGGTGGATGTTTCTCTCTCATCGATGTTTCTAGCTCTCTATCCCTCTCCCTTCTTCTCTGTAAAAAATCAATAAAATATGTTAAAAAAAACAAAATACACACACAATAAAGACAAAACATTCTTGTTTTTAAAAAAAAGCATTTTTTTTTTCTGAAACCGGTTTGGCTCAGTGGTAGAGCATCGGTCTGCGGACTGAAAGGTCCCGGTTCGATTCCGGACAAGGGCATGTACCTTGGTTGCGGGCACATCCCCGGTAGGGGGTGTGCAGGAGGCAGCTGGTCGATGTTTCTCTCATCGACGTTTCTAGCTCTCTGTCTCCCTTCCTCTCTGTAAAAAATCAATAAAAATATATTTAAAAAATAAAAAAACAAAGCATTTTAAAGTCTATGTTGAAAATGCTGGAGCCATAGTCACGAGAGTTAGTATAAATGCGTATAAATCAGTATGCACTCTTCATGGTAACATGGATACTTCCAGGCATAACCCAGCGGGTGGACGGACCAATAGGAAACAGAAGGTTGCAGCTCAAGGGAGTGGGAGGGAAGGAAGGAGAGGACTCGGCCTTGGTGGGGGGCCTCGCTGAGGACAGTGCTCCCAGCTCCCCCAGACTCCTCCACGTCTCACTACCAACCAATGTACCAGACGGAAAATACGTTCCTTCTGACAGAGGAGGCAGCCAGACCCGGGAACATAACCCATCTTCGGGAAGGCAGGGACCGCGCTGGGATTCGAACCCCCATCCGCCTGCCCTGTAAGCCATCCCATCACACCTGCTCCCCAAAGACACTGGCCGGACCGTGAAAGGCGGGAAAACACCAGTTCCTCATCGGGTACTTATGATCCAGACCATCGACAGGTGGCATGAATAAGCACCCCGCACATTGTTAAGGAAAGTCCTAATTAACAGGGAAAAAAACAAGAGCCAGAGCCTAAACCAGAATATAAACCAGAGCATAAACCAGAACATAAACCAAAACCTAAACCAGAGCCTAAACCAGAATATAAACCAGAACCTAAACCAGAATATAAACCAGAGCATAAACCAGAGCCTAAACCAGAATATAAACCAGAACCTAAACCAGAATATAAACCAGAGCCTAAACCCGAATATAAACCAGAATATAAACCAGAGGGCTATCACGGTCCCACTGCCAGCTTGAGGTCTGGACGCTTCGCCCCACACCTCCCACGTGCCCGCAGGTGACGGGAGAACCCTTCAGCCTCAGTTTCCCCATTTTCCCCCGAGCACGCTGCCACCGCCCCCTGCACCGCGGGCTGTCGGGGGCGTGAGGTCGCGCTGGAACCACCGCCGTGAGCCGCACGGAGGGAGGCACCCAGGCGCTGCCGCCCCCGCAGCGCCCCCCAGACAATAACCCGCAGGAACCGGGGAAGGAGGCCGGGGAGCAGGTGCGGCGGCCCGCGTCGCCTCCCCGCCCGCCCGGTGCAGCGGGGCGCGGGGCGCGCAGCCCGGTCTCCGCCCCCCGGGCCCGGGCCCTGCTCCCCGCGGGGCGCCGGGCAGAGCGGGGAGCCCGCCGGCGGGAGGGAGCGGGCGGCGCCATCCCCTGTCAGCCCGGGGCCGGAGGCCGCGTCAGAGCCCCTCAGCCCCCGCCCGCCTCGCCGCGGCCCCCCGACCCCCCCTGCCCTCCGGCCGCCGCGCCCCCGGCCCCGCCCGCAGCCCGCAGAGGGAGGGGAGGGGAGGCGTACCCCGCCGCCCCGCCGGGCGCTCCGCGGCGCCGTCCCGCCCAGCCCGCCGGTCCAGAGGCGGGCGCCCCTCGCTGACACTCACCGCAGCCGCCCAGCGCGGGAGGAGCCGAGCGTCCCGCCGGGAAAGGGCGGGGCCGCGCGCGTCACGTGACCTGCCGGCCGCCGCGCGTGCGCAGTCCGCTCGCCTGGGAGGGCGGGGAAAGCGGGGGCGAGGGTTCGGGAGTGAAGGCGTGGCGGGGAGGAGGGGCGGTTCGGGGGGCGGGGAAGGCGGGGGGGGGGAGGAGGGGGCGGTTAGGGGGAGGGGGGCGGAGAAAGGGGGCGGGGAAGGCGGGGGGAGGTTGGTGGGGGCGGGGAAGCCGTGGGGGGGGAGAGGGTTGGCGGTTCGGGGGGGGGGCAGGGAAGGGGGGGTTCTGGGGGCGGGGAAGGCGGGGGAGGTTCATGGGGCGGGGAAGGCGGGAGGGGAGGGGGGGGCGGGGAATGGGCTGGTAAGGGGGGGCGGGGAAGGCGGGGGTGTTGGGGGGGAGGGGAAGGTGGGGGGGAGGGGGGCGGGGGTTCGGGGAGAGTTGTGGGGGCGATGAAGGCAGGGGGTGGGGGGGCGGGGAAGGCGGGGGTGTTGGGGGAGGGGAAGGGGGGGGGGAGGGGGCGGGGGTTTGGGGAGAGTTGTGGGGGCGATGAAGGCACGGGGTGGGGGGGTTGGTGGAGGTGGGGGGGTTTGGGGGGTGGGGGGAGGGGGACGCAGCCGCCAGCCCCAGGGGCTGTGCTCGCCGGGACCTCCCGCAGCAGGGGCCCCACAGAGGACGCCTGGGTGAGGGGCGGCCCTTCGTTGGAGGCAAGTGTAGGCTGAGTAGAACCCAGTTAAAGAGCTTCACTGCACTTAAAGTACCCTGTTTCCCCCAAAATAAGAGTGTCTTATATTAATTTTTGCTCCCAAAGATGCGCTAGGTCTTATTTTCAGGGGATGTCTTATTTTTCCATGAAGAATACGGTACACATTTATTGTTAAATGAAAATAAAGGAAATGCATTACCTGTATACGGTACGGTAGTACGGTCATTGTCAACACAAACCAGACAAACTGTGAATCCTATAGTATCAAGAATTTACTCATTTATTCAATGGCAATCGTGTCATCTGGAACATCATCATAACAATCCAATTCCTGAATTTCCTGGTGAATTTCTTGTGACTCCATTTCTTTCAGAATCAGTGGACCAAATCTCTCATGTTTAGCCTAGGGGGGGGGGGGCTTATTTTCAGGGGGATGCCTTATATTTCACTCAGAAGGAAACCTGTAAGTAGGTCTTATTTTCGGAGGATGTCTTATTTTCTGGGAAACACGGTAGGACCGAGGCTCTTGCAGGCTGTCATTCTGACCACCCGCCAGGCCTCAGACTCTGTACCTGCCACAGGTGTATCCCGGAGTCTGATGGCTTCCACCCCCAGGCTGTCAGCGTGGCAGCCTGTCAAACAAGGTCCTGTCGCCACGTGCCCACAGGAGTCCCCTCGGCAGGGTGAGGTGACTGCGGGCGAGACAGCCCAGCGCCGCTGGTAATCGCAGCCGTCCATGCTGAAAGAGACCCACGCGAAGGTCCCTGATCAGTCCATTTCTATAATACAAAAGGGGGTCTTGATGGGTCAGAAGAGAGTCACCTTCTGGTCCTTGGAGATGCAGGTGAGGCTTTAGCTCCGTTTGGATGGGGAAAATATTCGTCCAATTTGACCCATGCACCAAGACGGCACCGGTTCGATTCCGGTTGCACACTCCATCCCCCACCCCCACCCCAGTCAGAGGCACGGAAGGGGGCAGCCAATCAATTGATGTTCCTCTCTCTTGGATGTTTCTCTCTCTCTACCTCTCCCTTCTCCCTCTCTCTAAGATCATACATATATTTTTTATATTTTTTACAGAAGGGAGAGAGAGAGAGAAACATCGCACACCCCCTGCTGGGGATGTGCTCTCAAACAAGGTACATGCCCTTCACCGGAATCGAACCCGGGACCCTTCAGTCCGCAGGCTGCCACTCTACCCACTGAGCCAAACCAGTTTTAGCCTATTCTATGGATCAGACACCTTACAGAGAATATTTACTATACCCCTCACACAAAAGTTATCAGACAGATTTTTATTATTTCATATTTTTACATTGTTTTAAGTAAATTAAGTCATTTATTCCAAGTCATATAGCAGGTGAGCTACCGAATCTAAAGATCCAAACTAGATGTGTCTGGATTCTTTCTTGGCACCAGACTCACTTCCCAGCAGGGTAGAAGGGCATATGACCAATGGTTGTAAACGCTGTATGATGCCACCTAAATAAAATCCAAGAACAGGCAACACTTAACATTGCGCTGGTACAGGTTTTCCTTAGTTTTGCTCAGCTGCCGGCTAAAGCATCTTTTGCTTTTCAACCTGCATGGATGTGAAGCTGTCATTGATGGAACACTTCACCATATATGTCAGCTACCTGTCTACAGGCATTCTATTATTTAACTTAATCTTCACTGCCTGAAACCAATCATTGTCTCACTAATAGAAAGAGGCTGGTCAACCTTGAAGCTATGAAAAGTCAGAGCCAACCACTTCCTATCTAATTGAGACAATGGTAACTGAGGCAACTTTCCCATATTGTAATCATATAAATTCTTACTGATATTATAATCCATCCGATTATTATCTGCCTGAGGGCTATGGGTGTTTCCCAAAGCTGCTTCAGGGTACTGGGTGTATCCCATAGCAGCCTCAATAAAAGGGATAGCAAGGCCAGAGCATAGAGAGTCTTCGCACTAGCAGGGGTCTTCAAACTACGGCCCGCGGACCACATGCGGCCCGCAAAGGAGTCTGATCCAGCCCGCCAGGTTTTTTGGGCAGTGAGCGCAGCCAAGGTGTTACAGTAGGAATTAGTAGTTCATATAGTCCGGCCCTCCAGCTCTCTGAGGGACCGGGATCTGGCACCCACTTTAAAAAGTTTGAGGACGCCTGCACTAGAGGTTGACTCCCGCCTGGCCCCCCATTTGTCCCAAATTAACTCTTTCCTAATCTCTATTTTAGTGTGCGACCTCCTCTAGAAACCGGACCCTGAGTGGGCCCTGAATCATGCGGGTCGTGTTAAGGGTTCCTACACTTCACAGTCTTTAAGGCAGTCTTATTCCTACGCCCATTTTATTTTTTATTTTTAAAAAATATATTTCTTGCCGAAGCAGGTTTGGCTCAGTGGATAGAGCGTCGGCCTATGGACTCAAAGGTCCCAGGTTTGATTCCGGTCAAGGGCATGTACCTTGGTTGCGGGCATATCCCCGGTAGGGGGTGTGCAAGAGGCAGCTGATGGATGTTTCTAGATCTCTATTTGTCTCTTTTCCTCTCTGTAAAAAATCAATAAAAAATATTTAAAGAAATAAAAATAATGTATTGATTTTTTACAGAGAGGGAGAGGGAGAGTCAGAAACATTGATCAGCTGTCTCCTGCATGCCCCCCACTGGGGATGTACCGGCAACCCAGGTACATGTCCTTAACTGGAATTGGACCTGGGACCCTTCAGTTCTACAGGCTGACGCTCTATCCACTAGGCCACACCTTTTAGGGCCCCACGCCCATTTTGTAAGTAAACAAACAGGTTTGCAAGAGCCAAGTCGCTTGGCCAAGATCAAAGAAGCGTAAGCCGCAACACTTAGCATCCGATGCCAGTATCTGGCTGGAGCACCTGCGTGTGTGCATGCCTCCCTGGTGACATAAACCAGCAGGGAGCCGACGAGGCCTGGGACATGGACATGGCGGCTGGTTCTCCAGCTGCTCCACTTTGTTCACCAAAATGTCCTGCCTTCCTGCCGAAACCGGTTTGGCTCAGTGGATAGAGCATTGGCCTGTGGACTGAGGGGGGGGAGGGGTGTCCCAGGTTCGATTCCATGTCAAGGACATGTGCATTGGTTGAGGGTACAACCCCAGTGGGGGAATGTGCAAGAGGCAGCTGGTAGATGTTTCTCTCTCACCGATGTTTCTAGATCTCTATCTGTAAAAAGTCAATAAAATATATATATATTTTTAAAATGTCCTCCCTTCCTTGCTCAGGGGAAGCGGGCAGACGCAGGGCGCCACAGGCAGTTTCTGGCAGGATCCCCAGGGTGCCAAGAGGGTTCGCCCCTCCAGCGGTCCCGCCCCCTCGCCAGGGTGAGCCCGGCGCCGTGCGGACCAATCAGCGGCGCGGGCTGGCGCCCCGCCCCTCCGCGCTGCGTGCCCCCACGTACGCCGCTGCGCAGAGCGCCGACCCCTCTCGCGGCCGCTTCACTCCGTGACCGCGGCGGCCGGCGGGATGCGGCTGGGCCCGAGGCCCGCGGCCCTGGGGCTGCTGCTGCTGCTGTGCGCGCCCGCGGCCGGCGCTGGGGACGCGCAGGGCGAGCACCGCAGCGACTACGACCGCGAGGCGCTGCTGGGCGGCCAGGTGAGTGGGCCAGCCGGGCCGGGCCGGGCCGGGGCTGGGAGGGTCGGTCCCGGGCGGCCTGGCTGGACGCTGGGCGGGACGCCGGGCCCCGATCCCTTCTGCCCTCCCGCGCGGGGCAGGATCTCGAGGCGCGTGGGGACCGGGGCCTTGGAGAGCAGATGTGAGTCACCCCAAACCCTCCCTTGCAAGGCTCTGCTAGTCCTCTTTTCCTCCCCCCCCCCCATTTTGCTCCGCCGATAGTAATGTTTGACCCCCCTCTCCTGTCTATCGCTTTACCTTCCAAAGGAAGAAGTCGACGAGTATGTTAAACTCGCCCCCGAAGAGCAACAGAAAAGACTGAAGTCGATCGTAAAGAAGATTGACTTGGACTCAGATGGCTTTCTCACCGAAAGTAAGGACGTCCTACATACACAGCTAACTAATAACAATGGACATAAACATTTAGGACGGGTGGCTGTTGAGGGTACATTGCTAATGCTCCATCACATTAGAGGTACTTGGAGAGGGTATAAAGGTCCTAGTGAGGAGAACTTACACCTGAAGATCTTTATGTTTTTATATTAAATGTATTGGGGTGACATTGGTTAGTTAGTAAGATCATACAGGTCTCAGGTGTACATTTCTGTAATATTGCACTGTGTGCCCACCACCCAAAGTAAAAATCTTCAGCCACCGTATATTTGACCCCTTTTGCTAACCCAACCCCCTTCCCTCTGGTGTACTTGGAAGTCTTTAGGTACAGGATCCTAACTAAAACCCACACTCTCTCTCATCCTATATAATAAAGAGCTAATAGGCAGGTGCCAGTGGGGGCCCCACCCATCACCCCGCTGTTGCCCCACAGATTGGCCTTAATCACCGGCCAGGCCTAGGGACTCTACCCAAGTGTGAATTTTGTGCACTGGGCCTCTAGTCCTCTATAATAAAGAGCTAATATGCAAATAGTCATCACTCCCTCGTGCCATCCCGCCATGGCGGCTCAGACACTCAACACTGCGGAGAGAGGAATGAGGACCAGCCAGGCTGCGGCCCCGGAGAGGGACAAGCCACCTGCCCCGCAATCCTGGCCGTGTCCTGGGTGCCTGAGGCTGTGGTCCAGGCGAAGCTGCCCGCCCACGGTCCCCTGCAGCTGTGGCCAGCCCAGGTGAAGCCGGCCTGGTTCCTGGGTGCCTGTGGCCAGACAGAGGGAGGGAATCCTGGGACCCGGGTGCGGGGCAAGGCAGAGGAAGTTAGGGGCAATCAGGCCAGCAGAGGAGCAGTTAGGGGAGATCGGGCCGGTAGGGAAGCAGTTAGGGGTGATCAGGCAGGCAGGCAGAGGTGGGTTAGGGGCAATCAGGCAGGCAGCGAGCAGTTAGCCAGCGGTACCGGATTGCGAGAGGCAGTCAGAAATCCCCCGAGGTCCTGGATTGGAGAGGGTGCAGGCTGGGCTGAGGGACCCTCCCCCTCTTGGCTCGAATGTCGTGCACCGGGCCTCTAGCCTACACTAATAAAAGAGGAGGATGCAAATTGACCACACCTTTGCGATGCTCACCAGCCAATCATGAGTGAGTATGCAAATCAACCCAACGAAGATGGAGGGTTAATTTGCATACACAGGCGCTGCGCAGCGGGGGCAGCATGCAGGCATTCCCCACTGCCCCAGCCACTTCGGGCCTGAACGAAGGGAGTGCCAGCAGCCAGGGGAAGGAAGGCTCATTCTTCCACGAATCTTTGTGCATTGGGCCTCTAGTAATATATAAACACCATTGGGCCTACATGTATTCGCAAATTACACCTTGAGCAAACACCTATTCTTCATCTGACTTTTATCAGTGTCAACAATGTGACTCATTTTAAGTATTTTTTTAGAATTATAAGAATTTGCTTCTTTTACAAGCAAATACAAAAAGACTTGTTGCATATGAATTAAGTTTATGACAAATCATTACCGCTAAAGAGGCCCTAAGAATCATCTTGTCCCTTCCTTTGTGGAGATGAAGAAACTGTAGGTCATGGGTGGAAATTAAATGCCTTTCTGAATGGAGTGGCAAAGCCAGGACTCAGATCCAAATCTGTTCCTATTATAATTCAGTTTCTAATATCTTTCACTTAAAATATCTGCCGAGACCGGTTTGGCTCAATGGATAGAGCCTCGGCTTGGGGACTGAAGGGTCCCGGGTTCGATTCCGGTCAAGGGCATGTACCTTGGTTGTGGGTATATCCCCAGTAGGGGGTGTGCAAGAGGCAGCTGATCGATGACTCTCATCGATGTTTTTAACTCTGTTTCTCTCCCTTCTTCTCTGTACAAAAATCAATTAAAAAAAAAAAAAAATCTAAGTGGCCAAAACTGGTTTGTCTCAGTGGTAGAGCGTCGGTCTGCGGACTGAAAGGTCCCAGGTTCGATTCCGATCAAGGGCATGTACATCGGTTGCGGGCACATCCCCAGTAGGGGATGTGCAAGAGGCAGCTGGTCGATGTTTCTCTCTCATCGACGTTTCTAATACTCCCTCTCCCTTCCTCTCTGTAAAAAATCAATAAAATATATTAAAAACCAAAACCCAAACCAAAACAAACATCTAAGTGTTCTTGGGTAGATTCTGTAGTTCGAAGTGAAATGTACAAATTATTAGAAGAATCCTATCTAATAAAGTGGGAAATATGCTAATTGAACCTCATGCCATCACAAATATGGTGGCACCCACAGCCAATAAGGAGGGAATATGCTAATTGACTCGCCCTCAAAATGGTGGTGCCAACAGCCACAAGATGGCAGGGCCCAGTCCCCTCAGCCCTTTGCTGTGCACCTGCCTTCAGAGTCCCCCAGTCCCCTTAGTCTTCCAGCCACCTAGGACCCGCCTGAACTACAGGCAAGCCTCAGATGGTGGCTGCCCAGCCGCCCAGGGCTGCCCGAGGCTCAGGTAACCAGGGCCGGCCGAGGTTGGCGCTGCCGGCAGTGGCAGCAGAGCTGTGATGGGGGCGTTGCCTCCTGCCCCTGAGGGCTCCTGGACTGTGAGGGGGAAGGCTGGGATGAGGGACCTCCCTGGGGCTCTATTATTTTAATAATATTAAATAGAAGCTAGTTTGTTGTAGCCTGTTTCAATGCGGCTCAGCATCTAAGGAACAAAATTGCTGAGAGAATATTACAAATGGATACATTTAAGATTTGTTGTCAATGAAGTATCCACATTGGTGCCTTCTGGAGTATTGAGGTTTTGGTACTTATACTTGTTGCATATGAATTAAGTTTGTTAGGGCCTCTTTAGCGGTAATGATTTGTCATAAACTTAATTCATATGCAACAAGTCTTTTTAAGAACAAGAAAAGCTTACTCTCTAATATCTAATAAGAATGGGTTCATCTTTGGTTAGAAAGCACACAGAACAAGTTGATTTGGAAGACTTCATGGTACCTGTTTGTAAGGGCCTCCATATACTCAAATATTTAGTAGTAAATATTTCAAAAAGATGCAGAAACCAGTTTGGCTCAGTGGATAGAGTGTCAGCCTGCGGACTGAAGGGTCCCAGGTTCAATTCCAGTCAAGGGCATGTTCCTTAGTTGCAAGCACATCCCCAGTAAGGGACGTGCAAGAGGCAGCTGATGGGTGTTTCTCTCTCATTGATGTTTCTAACTCTCTCTCTCTCCCTTTCTCTCTGTAAAAAAACCAATAAAATATATTAAAAAAAATTTCCCCCCCAAAAACGTTAAAGTTAAAACGAACTTACTCCAAACGTTCATTATACAGAGAAGAAAGCAGAAACTCACGAGGGTAAACACGCCCTTACGGCAGAGCTGCCGTGAACCCACGTTTCTGGTCACTGCCATTCTGCGTTCTGCTGTGCCGTGGCAAGCTCCACGTAGACTGGAGGGGACCTTCATTGTTGGGACCTTTCTGGAAATTTTGCCAGTTTGCACTTTATGGTCCAGGACTGGACTTAGGTTCTTGAGAGACAGCAACTGTCAGTGGCAGGAGTTTGTGCTTTGAGGCCAAAGGTATGTTGAATGTGCACTCAATCGACTGATCACTTACTAGGTGTGAGTCCTCAAATCGAAACCTCTATTTCCTACCAAAGCCCATGTGGGTCAGTGGATAGAGCATCAGCCTGTGGACTGAAAGGTCCCAGCTTCGATTCCAGTCAAGGGCATGGACTTTGGTTGCAGGCACATCCCCAGTGGGGGGTGTGCAAGAGGCAGCTGATCGATGATGATTCTCTCTCATCGATGTTTCTAACTCTCTATCTCTCTCTCTCTTCCTCTCTGTGAAAAATCAATAAAATATTAAAAAAAACCCAAAACCCTCCATTTCCTGAACTTTAAAATAGTGATGATAATTGCCTTGTTTTGAAGGTTGGAGACAATGTATATAAACAACCTGTTATATAATAGTAACTAGAGGCCCTGATGCATGAAATTCACGCAAGAGTAGGCCTTCCCTTCTGCTGCCACTGCTGGCTGCCAGCACCGGCTTCCCTCTGGCACCCAGGACCCAGGCTTCCCTCCTCCGGCCGTCGGCAGGTACCCAGGACCCGGGCTGGCTTTGTCCGGAAGGGCGTCCGGAATGAGGTCTGGAAGATGTCCCATCTAATTAGCATATTACCCGTTTATTATTATAGAGAGATTGTTGAATACATTGGATGCTGTCATTATTATTCTGCCCTGATTTAGAGTTTCAGGGGAGACCGAAAAAAGTGCCTTTTTATATTCACCTGACCTCCCCTAGGTCAGTGGAAGAATACCACTCTTTAAACCAAATGGCATACTCCTGCCATCTTGGCAAATATCTGTTTTCTCCGCTTTTTCTACAATGTGGTATATTAAAAATCTCTATGAATAGATTTTTAAAAATATATTTTATTGATTTTTTTTACAGAGAAGAAGGGAGAGGGATAGAGAGCTAGAAACATCGATGAGAGAGAAACATCGGCCAGCTGCCTCTTGCACACCCCCTACTGGAGATGTGCCCGCAACCAATGTACATGCCCTTTACCGGAATCGAACCTGGGACCTTCCAGTCTGCAGGCTGACGCTCTATCCACTGAGCCAAACCGGTTTCGGCTCTATGAATAGATTTTTAATAATTGATCTGAAAGTAGACGTTTGAGATTTAGAAACTTTTCAGGTGCCTAGTTAGGACAGACAGCTGTTGCAAGAAGCGCATAGGTCATAATTGCTAATCACCATGTCTGTGTTAAAGTCTCCTCCCGATGTTCTGTGTCACGGTTAAAGGGAGTATAAGTGTTTCTCAACTTGAGTCACTTGAAGACCATTTCACAATTTAGGCCATATCTACTTATCATGGATTCTTTACTTTTTTTTTTTTATAATGTATTTAATTACTAATTTATTAAGTTTTCCTGTCAATTGACACATTCTGTATGGAGCCTTTCAAGGAAGTTTTTTATATAAAATATATTTTATTGATTTTTTACAGAGAGGAAGGAGAGAGATAGAGAGCTAGAAACGTCGATGAGAGAGAAACATCGACCAGCTGCCTCTTGCACACCCCCCACTGGGATGTGTCCGCAACACGGGTACATGCCCTTGACCAGAATCGAACCTGGGACCTTTCAGTCCGCAGACCGATGCTCTACCACTGAGCCAAACCGGTTTCGGCTCAAGGAAGTTTTGAGAGTTTATTTACAATCACCAAAAGCAGGTGGTTCTGTAAAACTTATAGGTAATTGTAGACTCCTTAAATTCACAACATATATATATATATATATTTCAACATTTAAACAGAAGCCCATTTTTTTAAATAAATTTTTATTGTTCATATTATTATAAATGTTCCTTTTTCCCCCCCCCCACCATTGCTCTCCTCCACCAGGTTCCCACCCCACCCTCTGCCCTTTCCCCACTCCCCATTGTCCTCATCCATAGGTGCACAGTTTATGTTCAGTCTCTTCCCACATCCCCCTCTCCCCTTTTCCCCAAGAATCGTCAGTTCACTCCCCTTCCATATCTCTGATCATATTATATTCAACAGTTAATATTGTTCATCAGATTTTTTTTAATTTTCTTGGTTTTTAGATTCATTTGTTGTTCATAATTTTTATCTTTATTTACTTTCTCTTCTGAAAGAACCCCCTTCAGCCATTCATATAATTCTGGTTTGGCGGTGATGAACTCCTTTAGCTTTTTTTTATTAGTGAAGCTCTTTATCTGACCTTTGATTCTGAGTGATAGCTTTGCTGGATAGAGTATTTTTGGCTGTAGGTTCTTACTATTCATCACCTTGAATATTTCTTGCCATTCCCGTCTGGCCTGCATGGTTTCTGTTAAGAAGTCAGCTGACAATCATATAGGTGCTCCTTTATAGGAGGGAAATTCTACCTTCTTTGCTCTTGCTGCTTTTAATATTCTCTCTTTGTCTTTTGCTCTTGGAATTTTAATTATGATGTGTCTTGGTGTGATCCTCTTTGGATTCCTTTTGTTTGGAGTTCTGTGTGCTTCCTGAACTTGTAAGTCTAATTCTTTCACCAGGTGGGGGAAGTTTTCTGTCACTATTTCTTTCAATATGTTTTCAGTATCTTGCTCTCTCTTATCTTCTGGGACCCCCATAATTCTGATGTTGGTTCGCTTGAAGTTGTCCCAGAGGTTTCTTACATTATCTTCAGTTTTCTGGATTCTCTTGCCTTCTAGCTTCTGCGGAGGAATGTCTTCTGGTTCCAAATCTTTGACTTGATTCTTGTGATCTTCCATTCTGTTTTTAGGACTCTGTATAATATTTTTTATTTCAGTCAATGTATTCTTTATTTCTTGTTGATCCCTTATCATTTCTTGTTGATTCCTTATTAATTATAGTTGATCCCTTTTCATATCCTCATAGGTCTTATCCATCTTTTCTAGGAAATTCTTGAAAAACCTTATAATCGTAGATATGAACTCTATATCCAGTCGCTTTTTGTCCTCCATTTCTTTCGTTTGTGATCTATTTCGTCTTGGCATTTTTGCAGCTTTCCTGAGTTGGTAGCCTTAAAAGTCTCTGTGTTCTGCTTGGATGGGGCGGGGTTTTAGGGTGGAGCCTACAGCCTTGGCTTCCGTCAGCCCCGCCCTATGCGGGTCCTTCAGTACTCGCTGCCAGCACCTCGGAGAGAGAGGTGCCCTCGATTTTCGCCTGTTGCCAAACAGTCTGTGCTCTCCCCCAATGAGCCCGGTATTGGGGTTCAGTTCAGTTGGTAGTGGGATTGGAGGTGGTGTTCAGAGCAGTCTGGAGCCCCAGTCTCCTTCCTGCCTGGGCATTCCCGCGGCACAGCCGGCCATCCCTTCTCTGCGCGCAGTGTGCGCGCCGCCGGGACCTCCTTTCGCAGCTCCTCCTTACAGCCCAGCTCCCTCTGTGTGAGCCTGGGTCCCTGGGGTCTGGCCTAGAACTGGGGTTCAGAGCAGTCGGAAGTGGGGCCCAGCACAGTCGGAGCTTTTATCTCCTTCCCGCTAGGGAACGCCAGCCAGGCACTCAGCCGCCCCGCCCTTCCTCTCTGGCTCCGTCCTCTCCGCGCGACGCGTGTATCCATACCTTAGGCTTTTCCAGTTCCTCCGCGCTTCTTTCTGGTTTTCTCCTTGCTTCTCATTGTAGAATTTCCAGTCTACATTTGTAGACTTCCATTTGTAGACTTTCCTGTAGTTCTGGGTAACGTCCATTTTACATTTTAGTTGTATTTTATTGAAATTGCTGTGTGCGGCTGCAGCTAGGTGTTTACCTGTCAGCCATCTTGGAACGACTCCATGGATTATTTTCTTAGTGTAGTATTGATTCAACTTAATGTTAAATTTATTTTAAAGGAAAATTTCATGTTACTTTTGCAAATGGAAACCACTTTTTTCTAATACTTATTAAAATAAATGGATTCAAAGATTTGTGCTTCATGATGGATTTATGATAGCAAAAGTTACCGTATTTTTCGGACCATAAGACGCTCCGGACCATAAGACGCACCAGTTTTTAGAGAAGGGAAATGAAGAAAAAAAGATTCTGAAACAAATAGTGTCCTAAAATATTTTATGTGCATTAAAACCCAACATCACAGTCATAAACACATGTAATCAACCCTGTAAAGTAAACAGCAGCATTTAGAACCATTTTAGAGCCGGGCAAGCACACAGAGACCACACAGAGCCGGGCAAGTAAAAAAACTTTTTTTTAAAGTGTATGTGTAGGCTATGTTTGGACCATAAGACGCAGGGACTTTTTCTCCCCACTTCTGGGGGAAAAAAAGTGCGTCTTATGGTCTGAAAAATACGGTACTTGCAGTTTCAGGGATAATCTTTTTTTTTTTTTTTTTTAACATATTTTATTGATTTTTTTTTTACAGAGAGGAAAGGAGAGGGATAGAGAGTTAGAAACATCGATCAGCTGCCTCCTGCACACTCCCTACTGGGGATGTGCCCGCAACCAATGTACATGCCCTTGACCGGAATCGAACCTGAGAACTTTCAGTCCGCAGGCCGACGCTCTATCTACTGAAACACACTGGTTTTGTTCGATTGGTAAATCTTTTACTAAGTACTTAAGGAGTCAGGGGCTTCCCATGTATTTGGAAAACCTCAGGGAATAAATCATGCCCAAACTGTGTCCTTGAGCAGCTTACTTCTCTTTAAATCACATTTTATAACGTCTGAGATCCAAACGCGCTCCCCATCTCCCCCTCGTGTTTCTGTGAACACTGCTAAGTCTGCTCTCATTCCGTATTTGCAGACACTGAATTTTGTGTGTGTGTGTTTTCACTGAGAGACCGTCTAGAAACCCTCAAAGTGTGAGAATTACGGTTAACACCTATTGTGTTCTGGGACATTCCCCTAGGTGAGCTCAGTTCGTGGATTCAGATGTCCTTTAAACATTATGCGATGCAAGAGGCAAAACAGCAGTTTGTGGAATACGATAAGAACAGCGATGGGAGCGTGTCCTGGGACGAATACAACATCCAGATGTACGACCGCGTGATTGACTTTGACGAGAACACAGCTCTGGACGACGCGGAAGAGGAGTCCTTCAGGCAGGTGAGAGCATGCGTACAGACTGCCTTTGAACGAGGGAGTGGAAGTGGGGGGAAGAGACAGAGAGAGAGAGAGAGAGAGAGAGAGAGAGAGGGAGAGAGAAACATCGGTGTGAGAGAGAGACTGATTGGTTGCCTCCTGTGAGGGCTGCCCCTTTTTAAGACTGGATCATACTCTATTTTTTTTTTTTTAATATATATTTTATTGATTTTATACAGAGAGGAGGGAGAGAGATACAGAGTTAGAAACATGGATGAGGGAGAGTCATTGATCAGCTGCCTCTTGCACACCCCCTACTGGGGGTATACCCACAACCAAGGTACATGCCCTTGACCGGAATAGAACCCGGGACCCTTCAGTCCCCAAGCCGACGCTCTATCCACTGAGCCAAACCGGTCTCGGCGTGGATCATACGCTAGTGCAGGTGCATACTGTATTTTGTTTATCCATTCATCTATACGTGGACACCTGGATTTGCGTCAACTTTTTGGCTATTGTTAATGACTAGAACCCGGTGCGTGAAATGCCTACACAGGTGGGGTCCCTAGGCCTGGCCTGCAGTCGGGGACTCTCTGGGCCATCTCGCCCGCTCCTGAACTGAGCCTGCCTGGCGGGGAGGGACCATGGGAGGTTTGCTGGCCAGGGGGAGAGGACAGGGGGAGGTTGGCTATGGGAGCGGACTCACCAAGGGGAAGCTCCTGCATTAGTGTCTGCCCCCTGGTGGTCAGTATGCATCATAGCAACTGGCCCACCAGTTGCTCTGGTCCTTTGGTCGTGTAATGGTTGCTCAGACTTTTAGATAGATGGATGGATGGATGGATGGATGGATGGATGGATAGATAGATAGATATGAACATGGGTGTGCAAATATCTGTTCGAGACCCTACTTTAAGTTTTTGGAGGGAATATACCCAGAAGTGTAGTTGGAATTGTTGCATCGTAGGGTGATGTTATTTTAATTTTTTGAGGAACTGCAATACTGTCTTCCATAGTGGCTCCACCCTTTTTTAATAACCCATTTAAAAAAAATATTTTATTGAGTTTTTACAGAGAGGAAGAGAGAGGGATAGAAAGTTAGAAACATCGATCAGCTGCCTTTTGCACACCCCCTACTGGGGATGTGCCCGCAACCAAGGTACAGGCTCTTTACTGGAATCGAACCTGGGACCTTTCAGTCCGCAGGCCAATGCTCTATCCACTGAGCCACACCGGTTTCAGCTAATAACTCATTTTTGAAGATTCTGTGTGACCGTAGTTCTGTTGCCTCTCATGGTTTAATTTGTTTAAATACATGCTGCTTCAGCAGAGCTGAGGAGGACAATATTTAGGAAACATTTGTTTAGTAAATAGAACTTTTCAAGACAAATGACTGTTTTCTTCAGAAATTGCTATTTTAAGTACTTTTGTATTTCAAATTAATTTTACAGTCTTTTTCTTAAAACGATAGTTTTTCTTATGTGGAAAAATAGAAAGCCAAGCACCTAGTTGCAAACCATTATGTCCCAAGATATTATTATTAGTCAAGGGTATTTGGCAAACATTTGAGCCGCTTCAAATTCCTTAACTTACCTATTTTTGGTGCCCACCTTTTAGTTACTGTGGCCATAGGTCATGGTTGTACATGCTGTGTTTTTTTTTTTTTAATATATTTTATTGATGTTTTTACAGAGAGAAAGGGAGAGTGATAGAGAGTTAGAAACATTGATGAGAGAGAAACACCGATCAGCTGCCTCCTGCATTCCCCTTACTGGGGATGTGTCCGCAACCAAGGTACATGCCCTTGACCAGAATCAAACCCAGGACCCTTGAGTCTGCAGGCCAATGCTCTATCCACTGAGCCAAACCAGTCAGGGCTGTGCTGTTTGCTTTAGAATCCTGTGGGCCGCTGGAGCTCCAGAGGCCAGTTGCTCTCCTGGTGACTGAGCACATGCTGGGCGTTTGCCCCAGAGTAGAGGTCTGCCTGGCTTTCCATCCGGCTGCCCCACTAACACTCAGGCAGCTTTGGGTCCGATATGGAACCACCTCACACTGTAGTGTCTTTATGTCTGATTATCCTACCTAATAAAGAGGGAATATGTTAGTAATTGACCCCCACGCTGTTGCAAAGATGGCAGCACCCACAGCCAATAAGGAGGGAATATGCTAATTGACTGTCACACCCTCAAAGATGGTGGTACTCACATCCACAAAATGGCGGCGCCCAGTCCCCTTTGCCCCGCTGGGGTGGCAGGTACGTGGCAAGGCCAGGCCCGCCCCTGGGCAGACCTGGCCTCTCTGCACGCCTGCCTCCAGAGTTCCCCAGTCCCCTTCAGCCCCCCAGGGCCGGCCTGAGGCACAGGCAAGCCTGCGATGGTGGCTGCCCATAGCTCAGGTAGCCAGGACCGGCTGAGGCTTGCGCTGCCGGCAGTGGCAGCAGCACAGGTGTGATCACCTTCCCCTGATAGTGGGGTCACCTCCAGCCCCTCAGTGCTCCCAGACTGTGAGAGGGGGCAGGCCGGGCTGAGGGGACCCGCCTCCCCCCCACCCCCCATGTCTCTGAATTTTCATGCCCCGGGCCTCTAGTGGGATGATGATAGTATGGAGAAATAGTAGCAGTTCTGTGTTAATTTATTTTTATTTATTTATTTTTAAAAAATATATTTTGTTGATTTTTTACAGAGTGGAAGGGAGAGAGATAGAGAGTTAGAAACATCGATGAGAGAGAGGCATCAATCAGCCCCCCACTGGGGATGTGGCCACAGCCAAGGTACATGCCCTTGACCGGAATCGAACCCGAGACCCCTCAGGCTGCAGGCCGACGCTCCATCCACTGAGCCAAACCAGCCTCGGCAGTTCTGTGTTAATTTAAAGGAATATTGTTGCCTTTCACACTTACATGAAACTAGTAGCCCAGTGCACGCGCTGAGGTGGAGGGAGAGAGAAACATTGATGTGAGAGCAAGATATCAACCGGCTGCCTCCTTCACACCTGCGCCCAGGCACTGAGCCCACCACCGAGCACACATGTGCCCTGGCCAGAATCAACCCGGCAGCCTCTGGCTCGCAGAATGACACCCCACCCACTGAGCCACACTGGCCAGGGCCTTCTTGTTGACTTTTGCGGTTGTTGCCTTTGCTTTTGGTGTCAGACGGTCCCCACTGTATAGCTGAGGAGACCAGGGGAGGGAAGCTGAGTGCCGGAAGGAGCAGCTGGTAAGTGGCATTGCTGGAATCGCTCCTAGCCGCTCTGACTGCACTGCTGCTTCTAATAAACGTCATTTCCCCAAACAACCGTCAGAGGGATGATGTGAAGATAAAATAACGAATGAAAATGCACTTCAGATTCCGCATGGTTTGTACTTTTGGAGGTGGTATTCACAATTATGTGTTGTGATGAGACCTTTAAACGTGTTCAATATCTCATTTCCCAAGCTTCATCTAAAGGACAAGAAGCGGTTCGAAAAGGCTAACCAGGACTCGGATCCCGGTTTAAATCTTGAAGAATTCATTGCTTTCGAGCATCCTGAAGAGGTTGATTATATGACGGTAAGGAAGAGCAGTTTTCATTGAGTTGTTGAGAGGCCAGGACTTGAGACCTGCTTTAGCTGGTGATCCAGAATTGCATCCAGCCAGAATTGTGAGAGACGGGACCGTATCTCGGAGAGGTTTGGACTGGGAAGGAGGGCTCGGGGTGGAGGCTGCTTATTGGGAGGGAGAAGGTAAAGGACTGAGTTTTTATTTTACTTATTTATTTATAATTTAATTTTATTTATTATTATTTTCAATATATTTTTATTGACTTTTTACAGAGAGGAAGGGGGAGAGGTAGAGAGCTAGAAACACTGACCAGCTGCCTCTTGCACACCCCCTACCGGGGATGTGCCCGCAACCAACGTACATGCCCCTGACCGGAATCGAACCCGGGACCTTTCAGTCCGCAGACGGACGCTCTACCGCTGAGCCAAACCGGTTTCGGCTATAATTTTATTTTATTATTATTATTTTTTAAAATATTTTATTGATTTTGTACAGAGAGGAAGGGAGAGAGATAGAGAGTTAGAAATATCCATGAGAGAGAGTCATCGATCAGTTGCCTCCTGCACACCCCCCACTGGGGATATGCCTGCGACCAAGGTACATACCCTTGACCGGAATCGAACCCGGGTCCCTTCAGTCCCCAAGCCGAGGCTCTATCCATTGAGCTAAACCGGTCTCGGCTATAATTTTATTTTTAAAAAAAAATATATTTTATTGATTTTTTTACAGAGAGGAAGGGAGAGGAATAGAGAGTTAGAAACATCGATGAGAGAGAAACATCGACCAGCTGCCTCCTGCACACCCTCCACTGGGGATGTGCCCGCAACCAAGGTACATGCCCTTGATTGGAATGGAACGTGGGACCTTTCAGTCCACAGGCCGATGCTGTATCCACTGAGCCACACCGGTTTCGGCTCCCTCTGCGTTTGTATGGGCTGATTTAAGGGTGGGTTGGGTAACGGACACATTCTGTGGTTTTTCTCGGAAAGGGGTCATGTCGGGAACATAGTTACACATGATGATAGTTACACAAAAGGAGAGTCCTGCTCTGCCCTTTCAACAGTGGTCTATGAAAGAAGGCCTGCATGCTGGGACGGGGCCATGAGACCGTATCTCCAGGCCTGGCCTAGTCAGCACTGATAACTCTTATCTGAGCAGAGTCCACGGCCTCCCTGGAAGCATGCTCCAGCAATCTCACTCTTCAACAGATACATTTTAGATCTGGAGCTAGAACAACAGTTCTGTGCAAAGAGAAAGACTCGGGGTTCTCATGGTTTGGGCGAAAAGCAGAGTTAAAGAGGAGGGGTAGCCGAAACCGGTGTGGCTCAGTGGATAGAGCGTCGGCCTGCGGACTGAAAGGTCTCAGGTTCGATTCCGGTCAAGGGCATGGACCTTGGTTGCTGGCACATCCCCAGTAGAGGGTGTGCAGGAGGCAGCTGATGGATGATTCTTTCTCATCAATGTTTCTGATTATCTCTCTCTCTTCTCTCTGTGAAAAATCAATAAAATATATTAAAAAAAAAAAAAAAAAAAAAAAAAGAAGAGGGGTACTCGGAGATGTCGTTGAGGAGGAGGAAAATGCGGTCAGCGCTGAGGTGGTTTCAGAGGAGCGGGGACCCTAACCACACAGCCTGAGGATGCTGGATTTACCACATGGTGGTGTTGTGTTCCTGCTTCCAATCCGTGTTTGCCAGCACAGACCATCCAGAGGACGGCTGCGAAAGCAGTTCTGCAGTAGGAGTGACCCGGATGGTGGTGGGATTGGAAACGTCGTTGCTAACTTATTTCTGTGCTAGGAATTCGTCATCGAAGAGGCTTTAGAAGAACATGACAAAGACGGGGATGGATTTGTCAGTTTGGAAGAATTCCTAGGGGACTACAGGCGGGACCCAGGTAAGTGTGCTGGCAGAGGGGCAAACGCAACAGAAAGAAAGAAAATGGAGCCAAAAGCACTCGCCCAATGGCTGCTCGTTCTGCCCAGTGAGACGAGCAAAACCCCACATGTGGAGGTCACCCCAGAATGCTGTCCTGCTCCTCTCAGAGCCCATCTGGGCCCTGGCACGTTTTCCTTTCCAGACTCATACAGTGTGATTGTCAAATCCAGTGGGGAGGAAGGAAAGATGATATTTTTATTAAAAAAAAAATATATTTTACTGATTTTTTACAGAGAAGAAGGGAGAGAGATACTTAGAAACATCGATGAGAATCATCGATCAGCTGCCTCTTGCACGCCCCCTACTGGGGATGTGCCCACAACCAATATACATGCCCTTGACCGGAATCGAACCTTGGACCCTTCAGTCCGCAGGCCGATGCTCTATCCACTGAGCCAAACCGGTTTCGGCTCGGCGGTTGATATTTTAAAACAAAATCCTGTATCTTTTGATGTAGATCTTAAAAGAGAAATAAGTATAAATACCGTGAACACCGGTGTGGACTGTGGAAGGTGACTTATGGTTGTCTGAAATTTCAGGAGTTTGTATATGTCTTTTCTCAGAATTTCTTCCAGAATTGTTGCCTAAAAGCACCGCTTACTGGGAAGGTCCTTTGAAGTGACAGGCAGCATTGCTCTGTAAGAAAGGCGAGAAGCTTTATGTAGCCACGTGACATGCAAACAGTTTTACCCAGATCAAATTTGGGAAAAGCAGATATAACAAATAGCAGTTGATAAAATTACTAGTTTGTGAGAATATGCAACGATTTCAAAAGTCAGAGTTGCTTAGACCTGTGTGTCACTGTTGAAAATGACTGTATAGTTTGTACTTATTTTAGCACTTTTCAGTTAAATATTTTTGTTTCTTTGGGCATTTTTTATGTAGTAGGCTTTACATTCATTCCTTTTATTCTAGGGATATATCCAATGCCTCATTATATACATGTGATATTCTTACATGTGTATTTGTTGTTGATTTCTTTTCATCTAAAGCAGCCAATGAAGACCCAGAGTGGATACTTGTTGAGAAAGATAGATTCCTGAATGATTACGACAAGGATTCGGACGGCAGGCTGGACCCTCAAGAGCTGCTGTCTTGGGTGGTGCCCAACAACCAGGGCATCGCCCAGGAAGAGGTGAGCGCTCCCGAGTGACACCCTCCCCTGTGTGTGTGTCACTGTGGGTGGGAAAGGAAGCTCAAGTGTGTGAGCCAAAGAAAGAAGCACTTACATTTTTAAGGATCAATGCATTGCTCTTTTTTTTTTTTTTTTTTAAATATATATTTTATTGATTTTTCGCAAGAGAGGAAGGGAGAGAGATAGAGAGCTAGAAACGTCGATGAGAGAGAAACATCGACCAGCTGCCTTTTGCACACCCCCTACTGGGGATGTGCCCGCAACCCAGGTACATGCCCTTGACCGGAATCAAACCCGGGACCTTTCAGTCCGCAGACCGACGCTCTACCACTGAGCCACACCGGTTTCGGCACATTGCTCTTTCTTGATTTAAATCTATGAGCTGTTTTAGATCGTCAAGGGACAAGCAAGTTAAAATTGCATCATGTATTCATTTGATAGGACAGTTAGAAAAATAAACTTTGTATTTGCCTGTAGGGGCTCAGAATGGTTATGTTCATGTTGCTTAACTTAGAGATATCCTGAGTCAGACTTGAGACAGAACCCAGCGGAAATTAGCAAAGGAGATAATGAGAGAAGCCGGAGACAGACCCTGTGACAGTCTGTAATGTTTTCATTTACTCAGACAGTGAGTACTTGAACGGAGCAATAATCTTTTTAAAAAAATATATATATTTTATTGATTTTTCACAGAAAGGAAGAGAGAGGAATAGAGAACTAGAAACATTGATGAAAGAGAATAATAGATCAGCTGCCTCTTGCACATCCCCTACTGGGGATGTGCCCGCAACCAAGGTACATGCCCTTGACCGGAATCGAACCTGGGACCTTTCAGTCTGCAGGCTGACGCTCTATCCACTGAGCCAAACCGGTCCCGGCATGCAATAATCATTTTGATGAGTGATTCTTTTATTGCTCACAGGCTCCTTTAAAAATACGGTGCAAACCGTGAATGAATGAAAGTATGAATGGCTCTGACAAATCTAACACCCATTGAAATGTGCACATCTTGCTGAAACTATGAATTGCACCTGACACATTGAATGACGTTTGTTCAAGGCTCTCCACCTCATCGACGAGATGGATCTGAACAATGACAGGAAGCTCTCCGAGGCGGAGATTCTGGAGAACCAGGACTTGTTCCTCACCAGCGAGGCCACAGACTATGGCCGCCAGCTTCACGATGAGTATTTCCACCGCGACGAGCTCTGATCCGTAGTTTCTTACCGGTGTTACATTTGCGATACCACATCGACGCGGTTATTTTCCGCTCTGGGGTCCTACAGCCACCAGCCGTATCTTAACGTAGATGATAATTCTGGCCTTGGAGGAGAAAAACGAAACTCTGGTGTGTATTTCAAAAACGTGTCGGAGAAAACAATGTTGTGCCATATGACAGACAGCCAAGTCTTTCCTGTATTCGCCTTCTCTTCAGTGCTGTGCTGCGGGATACTTTGAGTTCCAGTTCCATACTTGAAAAATGGAACATTTATTTCAGAGAGGCCTAAAGGAGTATGTGGCTGAGCTATACACTTTTCTTTCTTTAAGTAGCATTAATTGGAGAGCCGACGGGATTACGTTGTTTTTAGATGTAGCGTTTTGTTAAAAACACACACACAACAAAAACCTTTAAAGGAACCTGTAGAAAAACTTATACCTCACACCTAGGTTGAGAAGTTCTGCTTAATTTTAAAATGGTTTCTATCAAGGGTTTTACTGTATGAAATAGAACTTTATATTTTTGCATACTTCTAGATAGTAATTATATTTAACGCGTAACCATAGCTCTATGGTGTGTGGACCTTGGTATTGTTTTGAACTCTTCTCTTCTGACTGATTAAAAAAATGAAAGGTCCTATCTTTTTAAATGTTTGTTAGTTTTCTTTAATCTTCCGGGTAAACCTTGAATTTCACATAGGTTTTTGTTCTGTTGTTACACTATCCCGCCTTATCCATTCCTGTATTTTGGTAGCGAGTGTTCTAGAACACTGTTAAATTATTCTTGTTCCATACTTGTATTTTTTTTTTAATAAAAGAATATCATAATTAAAAGTATACTGGATACATTTCAGTTGCTATTGTAGCAAATATGGTTGTGCTGTTTGGGGCTAGAAATAGTGGTAAGAATTACACAGGTTGGCCGAAACCGGTTTGGCTCAGTGGATAGAGCGTCGGTCTGTGGACTGAAAGGTCCCAGGTTCGATTCCAGTCAAGGGCATGTACATTGGTTGCGGGCACATCCCCGGTAGGGGGTGTGCAAGAGGCAGCTGGTCAATGTTTCTCTCTCATCGACATTTCTAGCTCTCTATCTCTCTCCCTTCCTCCTCTATGTAAAATATCAATAAAATATATTTAAAAGAAAAAGAATTATACAGGTTGAAATCACCAGTAGAGCTCAATATCAGTTATACTAAGTTAAATCATATTTGGTAAACATTTCTTTATACCAAAAATGGTCAGTTTGTGTGTGTGTGTGTTTTTAAAAAAAATATATTTTATTGACTTTTTACAGAGAGAAAGAGAGAGGGATAGAGAATTAGAAACATCGATGAGAGAAACATCAATCAGCTGCCTCCTACACACCTCACACCAGGGATGTGCCCGCAACCAAGGTACATGCCCTTGACCGGAATCGAACCTGGGACCCTTCAATTCGCAGGCTGACATTCTATCACTGAGCCAAACTGGTTAGGGCTGTGTGTGTGTTTTTGTTTATCCTCAACCGAGGATATTTTCCCATTGATTTTTAGAGAGAGTGGGAGAGAGAGGGAAAAACAGGGAGAAACATTGGTGTGAGAGAAACACATCGATGGGTTGCCTTCTGCACATGCTCCAACCAGGGCCCAGGCCAGGGAGAATCCTGCAACTGAGGTCCGTGCCCTTAACCAGAATCGAACCTGGGACCCTTCGGTCTGCAGTCTGACACTCTATCTGCTGACCTAAAACTGGGTAGGCCCAAATGGTCAGTTTTGACCTTATTTAGCAGTTCAACTTTCTGTGTTTGGAAGGAATAAGAAAAGTGAGAAGGCGAGGAATTCATGTTTTATTTGTAGGGTGAGAATTCTGTTACTATTATATTTCTCGTACAATTTATTAAAAAAGTATAAGTAATTTGCTTCAACATTGAGTTTTTGCTGAGTGGATATTTACCTTTCCTGTCTGCTATAAAAATATTTTTAAAAATATATATTTTATTTATTTATTTTGCCAAAACCGGTTTGGCTCAGTGGATAGAGCGTAGGCCTGCGGACTGAGAGGTCCCGGGTTCGATTCCGGTCAGGGGCATGTGCCCTGGTTGCGGGCACATCCCCAGTAGGGGGTGTGCAAGAGGCAGTTGATCGATGTTTCTCTCTCATGGATGTTTCTAGCTCTATCCCTCTCCCCCTCTGTAAAATATCAATAAAAAAAATATATGTATATATATATTTTAAACATATTTTCTTGATTTTTTACAGAGAGGAAGAGAGAGGGATAGAGAGTTAGAAACATCGATGAGAATCATAAATCAGCTGCCTCTTACACGCCCCCTACTGGGGATGTGCCCGCAACCAGGGCACATGCCCCTGACCGGAATCGAACCCGGGACCTTTCAGTCCGCAGGCCTACGCTCTATCCACTGAGCCACGCTGGTTTCAGCTATTAAAATTTTTGTAACTGATATCAGGATTTATCGTAGAGTGAGCCTCTTATCAGGGTCTGGAGTCTCATTGCGCTGCCAAGCCTAAGGAAAGGTAATGCTCTCCTGCAGCCTCTAGTGTGCATCTTGGGAATAGCACCTGAGTGACGTCACAAGGAAAACTACTCTCTGCTGCCATCTCCTGTGCATCTTGGAAATTACATCTGAGGGGAGATCAGCAAAAAAAGCTAATTCCTGCTGCCATCTAGTGTGCTGCTTTGGAATAACATCTGAGTGGAGGTGACCCACTCAGAAATGACCATCATTTGAATAATTTTCAAATTTCTCCTGAAAAAGTATATACACTTTTTACATCAAGCCTTCTATTATTAAATTTACACAATTTATTTCAACTTGTTTTGAGGTTTTAATTCTTAGAAACCTTAATTTTTCAATACTAGTAACCAAAAAGTAAACCAGCAGCATTTCTTAGATTGATGTTTATGAACACATTTTAAACATACTTTTTATCCCAAACCGGTTTGGCTCAGTGGATAGAGCGTCGGCCTTCGGACTGAAGGGTCCCGGGTTCGATTCCGGTCAAGGGCGTGTACCTTGGTTGCGGGCACATCCTCCGTAGGGGGTGTGCAAGGGGCAGCTGATCGATGACTCTATCTCATTGATGTTTCTAACTATCTCTCTCCATTCCTCTCTGTACAAAATCAATAAAATGTATTTAAAAAAAAATAATGGCACAGCATAGCGGTTTTAGTCAATGACAGATCCATTCATCCGTTTTGTATGATGAGGAAGATGTCTCCTTTGATCACTGCGTCCACGTGCCTCGTCCAACAACTGGTTTTGGGACCCGGATCTACATTGGGTCACAGCTAAAGGGCAAGCAGGATGGATTTTCCCTGATTGGAGCGGCGGGTGGAGATGAGGGAGGCTTTCCTGTGGGACCGACCACTTTTTTTAAAATTTATTTTATTTTATTTTTATAATATATTTTATTGATTTTGTACAGAGAGGAAGGGAGAGAGATAGAGAGTTAGAAACATCGATGAGAGAGAGTCATTGATCAGCTGCCTCTTGCACACCCCCTACTGGGGATATGCCCACAACCAAGGTACATGCCCTTGACCGGAATAGAACCCGGGACCCTTCAGTCCCCAAGCCAACGCTCTATCCATTGAGCCAAACCTGTCTCGGCAGGGACCGACCACTTAAAAAATATATATTTTATTGATTTTTTGCAGAAGAAAGGAAGAGGGATAGAGAGTTAGAAACACCAATGAGAGAGAACCATCGATCAGCTGCCTCTTGCACACCCCCCACTGGGGATGTGTCTGCAACCAATGTACACGCCCTTGACCAGAATTGAACCCGGGACCTTTCAGTTCGCAGGCTGATGCTCTATCCACTGAGCCACACCGGTTTTGGCAGGACCAACCCCTTTTCAGGGGCATGTCTTGCAGCGGAATTGCAGCGCCTGGAGCGGCACTTTCCTGTCCGCGTCCTGAGCTGCGCGGTCCCATCCCACAGTCTCTCTGCAGGCGGAGCCCAGGCACGGCAGCTCCTTCTGGCGGCATTGAGTGTACTAAGGCTCCACACAGGAATGTGGCCTGGCCAGTGTGGTCATTAGTGGTCGGCAAACTCATGAGTCCACAGAGCCAAATATCAACAGGACAATGATTGAAATTTCTTTGGAGAGCCAAATTTTTTAAACTTAAACTAGATAGGTACTGTGTTTCCCCGAAAATAAGACCTAGCTCATGGGAAGATAAGACATCCCCTGAAAACAAGACCTAGCGCAACTTTGGGAGAAAAAATTAATATAAGACACTGTCATTTTCGGGGAAACAGGGTAGGTACATTAAAAAAATTTTTTTTTTATTAAGGTATCACATATTTGTCCTCAACCCCCCATTCCAATCCCCCATCCTCCCCACTGATGACCCCACCCCCCTATTGTCCCTGACCACTGGTTAGGTTCCTATGTGTGCACACAAGTCCTTTGGTGGATCTCTCCCTTTTATCCCCACCCTCCCTCTGAGGTCCGACAGTCTGACCCACGGCTCCTTATCTCTGGGTCTGTTCCTGTTCATCCGTCTATGTTATTCACCATTTCCCCTGGATGAGTGAGATCGTGTCCTACTGGAAATACACTTATAAGAATCGAAAATGAGACATGCAATAATCATTATGCTGAAAGGCATATGAGTCAGTCTGCAGTGAGTTTCTATCTGGGCCAACAGTTCTTTTGAGACCCCATTTCAATGTCAGACAGTTCCTTATGTGTACATGTCAGCCATGATATTTCAGTTCTGGATGGTGGGCAAATGGTGGTAATGCAGCTCTGACCCTCTCTGGTTTGGTCCTGGGCAACCTGCAGTGACACACAACTGCTGACTGCTATTATGGCAAGGCGTCGTCAGCGTCTTCCATCTCTGGACTGCTCCTCTTCTGTCTTCATGGTTGGAGCAGTCCTGTCAATTCCTCTCTGTTGCCAGAATCCACATGGTCTCAGAGTTGTTTTCTGAAAATATACAAACATATTCTCGACCAAGTGAATAAAAGAATATTTTCTATAAATTTGACTTGGGATCCTTTTTCATTTTTTGCCCAAATGATTTTCCTCTGGCTTGTTTTGATACCATGTGTGTTTTTCACGGGTGTCTTGCTGTTAGCATTACAATTAATTTTCTGAAGTACAAATTTTCTAGATGTAATTTACTTACAGGATATTCTTCTACTTTTCCCTTTTTTTGATTTAAATATTAGGAGGCTTTTGAAAAATTTATAATGTAGTTTTGATAGCTTTTAAATTTTACTATTTGCACTACAATGTGACTGCTTTAGGTTCATTTCCTGTTGTGAGATCTTATCCTGAGATGAACTACCAATAAAAATTTTAGTTAACAGAACAGCTTTTTGTCCAGTGCAATTAGTTTTTCTAGAATATTTGATTACTTACAATTAGTCAATTTAAATTAGCCTGAAAACTTGTCTACTGTTTTACTGTCAAATTTATTACTCTAAAACAATCTTATTTTTACCGTGTAAATATTAGGGGAGGTATATAGTTATTAACTTAATGGGGGTACTCCTAAGCTGGCCTTTGCTAAAAACTCAAGGGGCCAAAGAGCCGCATGTGGCTTGCGAGCCGCAGGTTGCTGACCACTGTGTCAACCTGCATCCGAAGGCTCCCATGTGTGATTCCCAGGTAAGGGCATGTGTGTAGGTTGCCGTTTGCATCCCCGGGGTTTATGGGAGGCAAGCAGTCATGGATGTCTCTCCCTCACAGGGATGTTTCTATCTATCTCCCGCTGCATCTCTCTGAAAAAAATTAAGAATCCACTCCCTCTCTGAAAAAGAAGAAAATATCCTTGTGTGAGGATTAGCTAAATAAATGAATAAATAGATAGATAGGTAAATG